GAGCTTGCGCTCAGCAACAACGATCTGGGCGAGGCTGGCATCCAGAAGCTGTGCCAGGCCCTGCTGGGCTCCTCTAGCCGGCTGGAGAAACTCAAGTGAGCATGGGGCATGGACCTGAGCTACTTCCCATGGCCAGCGCGCACTGGCCAGTAGTGGCACCAGGCAGAGCAAGAGTCCCAAATCCCTGTCTCTCACTGTCAACCCCACAGTGGGGAGGGCCACCTGCTAGCTACAGCACAGGAGGGACAGGGCCAAGACCCAGGCTAGGCTAGTGGAGGGCAGGTGGGGTGGTCTTGGAACCGAGGAAGTACTCCGCTGTGTGGACATTGTGGCATCCTGGCGAGCCTTGGGGTATGGCGTAGGGCAGTATAAAGGACATGGATCCTGGATGTGTGCTTTCCACCCACACCCTCCCCTGCACCCCTGCTTCATGCTCCTGCACCCCGCAGCTCTTCCCTGTACCCTGTGCCATCCTCCTGTGCCCTCCTTCCACACGCCTCTGTGCTTTTCCTTGTACCCATGTGCCGTGATGTGCCCTCTCCTGCGTCCTCCCCCTGCACCCGTCATCCCCTGCACCATCCCTCATACCCTCCCTTAGCACCCCTGTGCCTTCTCCCTACAACTCTATGCCCTCCACATGCCCTGTACCCTCCCTTGCACCAGCCCCAGCCCCTGCTTCATGTCCTGTTCTGAGCACTCCTCATGTCCCTAGTCTGGCGACCTGTGGAGTCACAGCAGCCAACTGCAAGGACCTATGCAGCATCTTGGCCACCAAGGACACCCTGCAGGTGCTAGACCTGGGTGAAAGCAAGCTGGGTGATGCAGGCATGGCTGCACTGTGTCCTGGGCTGCTCAGCTCCTGCTCCAAGATCAAGACTCTGTGGTGAGTCCTGGGCAGGGGCAGGGAGGGGGTGCTTAGTGGTGCAACACTGGAGTACAGGTGCTGCTGACCTCTCTGTCCCCCAGGCTCTGGGAGTGTGGCATCTCTGTGGAGGGCTGCAAGGAGCTCAGCCAGGTCCTTCGGACCAAGGAGACCCTGAAGGAGCTCAGCCTGGCAGGCAACGAGGTGGGGGACCAGGGGGCGAGGCTGCTGTGTGAGGCCCTGCAGGAGCCGGGCAGCAGGCTGGAGATGCTGTGGGTGAAGAGCTGTGGCCTCTCAGAAGCCTGCTGTGCAGACTTTAGCATGATGCTGGCCAAGAACAGGTCCCTCCTGGAACTGCAGCTGAGCAACAACAAGCTGGGGAACGCGGGTGTGCAGCAGCTCTGCCAGGGCCTGGGCCTGCCTGGGGCTAAGCTGCGCTCGCTCTGGTGGGTACCTGGATGGTGCGCTGGGGGGTCTGTGGGCGGTCTGGAGCGCAGGCTACCCAGATGAATGCGGCTACGTGCACAAACTGTCCAGGCTGAGGCCTCGTGCCCGCAGCCCCACAGGTGCTATACCGAGTTGTGTTGCTCCTGTATTCCTCACAGGGATTGTTCAGGTCTCCTCTTGTAGCCCGAGTGACTTTAGCATCTCCCCAGAAGCTGGCTGCTGTGCCCTGGTGTGGTTTCCTGGTCTTCTGGGGAGGTTAAGAGGGTCCCCCAGCACTGTCTGCACGCCATTCAGTATAGTGACTGTAGCAATGGGCTCTATATGTCAGAGATGGTGGCAGTGCATGACACAGGGTTCAAGGGTGTGGCTCAGAGGAATGCTGTAAGCTGTGCTCGAGTGGGTGGCATTTAACAGCAGTAACGGAGCGCCTGGCACGTGCCTGCTGGGATTCCTTCAGCGACATTGATTTCCTCTAGAACTCCCGGGTCTTTTCATTCTCTCCCATCTGCATGTCTGTGCTGTTTGTGGGAAGTGTGACCAGCAGCACCCTCATCCTACCTGTCAGGTCTTTCATTTCTCCTGTGCACCCTCATCCTACCTCTCTCCAAAAAGGTCCCTTTGGATTGGACTTGAGGTTCCAGGGTTCTGACATCCATCTTTTAAGATCCTTAACAGTGACACTTGTGAGCTCTGTCCTTATAACAGTTCCAGGGATGAGGGCCTGCTCTCTCTGGGACCAGTCTATGCAGCTTGCTGCAATCACCTTCAGAGCCCCAAAGACTTATTCCCAAGTCCCATTCAAAATACAGGCACTGCATAACCCCCCAAGTCTGAACTCATGAGAACATCAGTCCCCAGTGTTGTCATCCAAGACAGCCATGAATGAGGTCTGAGCCACCCTGCGGCAGAACCTTTCCAGGTGTGGGCATGTGGGACCAGAGCGGTCCTCTCCTCAAATATAGTGGACAGGCTCAGGGCAGGCGCCGTTCTGTTCCCAAAGGAGGATGGAGTGGGAAGCAAGGTGCACTGATAACCCCAGCAGGCGAGGTCTCCGGAGCTTCTGGGCTTGGAATGACCATTGGGCACTCACCGTGCTCTTCCTTCTGGGACTCAGCCCTCCCTGGCCTTGGAGTGGCCCTTTCCCAAAGGGCAGCATGCTCGCTGTAGAGCATCTGCTGACCTATCTCCTGCTGGTGGAGTTTTGAAGTAAAAGAACAGGTATGTCCTAGAGAATGTGCAGCTGCAGTGCTCCTTGGAGGCCTAGATGACGGCTTCATCTCACCTACTTCAGACATGCTGCTGGGAGCCATTCCTTGAAGAGGGACATGAGCTTTGGAAAGGTGGAAGATCAGGAGAGGAAGACCCTCATACACAGTGACTGCAGCGGTGGGCTCCACCGTGTCAGGACAACACATAGGACTGAGCAGGGCTCAGACCTATTCAGAGTCACACCTGACAGTGCCTCAGTCCTACTTCATTCCGCCTCGGGCCCTTTGAGGCCAGGCTGGCAGTGTCCTGCCGTGTAAACGTACACACGTGGCTGCTAAGGGGCCTCCTCTCAGGTGGTGGTGTGCAGTCCACAGTGGCCTGAGTGGAGGGGTGTAAGCCTGTCCTGCAGTTAGCACAGTGGTTTGCCAACTTGTGGGACCGGCCCTCCCAGCAGACTTGTGGAGGATAGTGGGCACATGGCTGCCTTGAACACTGTCCCTGCCTTACTGCCCAGGTTGGCTGACTGTGATGTGACCAATGATGGCTGTCCACCTCTGGCTTCGCTCCTGCTGTCCAACCACAGCCTGCGGGAGCTGGACCTGAGCAACAACGGCATAGGGGACCTGGGCTGCCTGCAGCTGCTGGCGAGTGTGGAGAAGGCTGACTGCACCCTGGAGCAGCTCGTGTGAGTGAGGGCGCCTGGGCCAGCATCGCTGAGGACTGGTGGGGTGGACATGGGGGGTGGCAGGGCCTTTGGCGGGCACTGAGACTCCCACTCCCCTGCAGCCTGTATGACATCTACCTGAGTGAGCACGTGTATGACCGCATGCAGGCCTTGGAGGAAAAGAAGTCCTCCTTGCGGATCATCTCCTGAGGGCCCTGCAGATGCTGCCCTGGTCACTGCGGGCATGCTCCACCCAGATGGCCTTGCTAAAGGAAACTTTGCAAATTATTTTAGACACTTCACACGAATTAAAGCATTTTTTGCAGAAATCTGGTCCTTGTGGCCCCTGCATCCTGGAGCCATGATGCCTGATCTGTTTTCTGGGCTGTGTCAACCCCCAAACTGGCTTTAAACAGCACAAAGCTCCCTTTCCCAGGAGCCCCTCCCCAAGCTCTTGGCAGCAGCCTGTGTGCTGGCTCTCCCTGGCCTGCTCCTGGTCAGGCTGCCTTGTGACCTTGATGCAAGGAGCTGCAAATGTGATGACCAGCTCTACCAGCAGGAGAAACTGACATTCCCCATCCAACCACATTGGTCAGGGGTCAGCCGTGTGGGCATGCCCATGCCAGGTACCCAGTGAGTCTGCATGTGCGGTCCTACTCCAGCTCAGGGTCATCTGGGTCCTGTCTGTGGTCAGCAGTGGGTGATGAGTGGGCTCACACCTGGCCCACTGGGCTCCTGATAACCTCAGAACCTTGGACATGCTGGGATTTCCCATGTTCTCCCCCGTCTCACCTGAGGCTCCGGGCCTGTCTGATAGAGAGAAGGAGCCAGTTCCAGCCTGAGTCACTTTTTTGGAAACAGAGCTCCTCAGGGTGGGAGTAGACAGCCCTACAGGGTCCTCAAGGCCCACTGGTAAAAGAGCACAACACACGTGGACAGGAGGAAGTGCAGCCCAGTCCAGTCGGGACTGGCCGGCCGCAGCCTTGATGTCCACAAGCACCAACCTGGTCACTAAGACCCACAGAACTCTGCTCAGCCTGAAGTCGTCGGACAACCCCACAGTGGGGTGCGCTCATGGCCCAGAGAGGAGGAGCAGCCCTGCCAGCACCCTGGGACTGGGGAGCAGGGCAGCATCCACAAGGCCACCCGACAGACATGGCAGGTCTAGGGGTCGGTTTCCACTTTTCAGTAGGATTGGCATTTTCCAAACTAGGAAAGCAAAGGGGCTCCAGGTGAGAACTGTAAAGCAAGGGCTGTGGTGGCACCTAACCCCCAGGACAGCATGCAAAGTCCAGGAGCCAACTGTCTCCCCTGAGACCTACCCAAAGCTACTGGGGAAGACCTCCAGGGCCAGACTCAGACACCTTCACTCGCAGACACATAAAGGTGCCTACTGCTGCCCAGCTACTCTGGACCAGAACCAGCCTTTCCTCCATGGGATTGTGAGGGCAGGGACCCCAGGATCCAGTCATTAGTAGCCAGGGCTTCCCACAACCCAGGCACAAGACAGCCAGAGGCAGCCATTTGTCACCGGTTTTATTTGTTCTCCTTGCTCATGGGGAGGGCCCCCCACCTGGACCCACCCACACCAGGTCTGCTACACAAACACGCTGCAGGGAAGGCTCTGTGGGCAGTGGCGCAGGTTCTAGGGTGCCACAGCTAACCCACACCCAGCACTGCTGCCAGAGGTCAGGGGCTGTGCAGGCAGGCACATGGCCAGCAGAGCCAGCACACACTTGGGAGTCTCTGCCACCACTGCACAGCTGCCCCAGTCTCAGATCCGACAGGAGACACAGAATTGGAAGCTCTGGTGACGGGGAGTCACTGGGATCCTGCCACTGCCCCCTAAGCTCCTGGTCCTGCTGACTGGCTGGCCATCCAGGACACTCTGGATGAAATGCACACGCACTCACGTACAGATACACGTAGACACACGTGTGTGCACATGCAGCCAAAGCCCTGGCTGGCTGTCTCACCCCCGCTGCCACAGCTGATGCTTCTGCTGGAGTAAAGACGAGGGCCTAGGACTCCTGGGCCCGTGGGAGGAGGGTGGAGGGTGCAGGTCAGTGTCAGTGCGGGGCCCGCTCTCCTGCCTCATTGGGCACCAGTAGGCTGTCTTCTGGCTCTGGGGAGTGGCCCTCACCATTACGGACAGCTCTGCCCTTGTCGTCCCGGCTCTCCTGCTTCTGCCTCCGGATCTCTTTATATCGCAGAGTAATGTCCCTGTAGGAGGAGGGTGGTGTCATGTGGTTCTTAGGGAACCAGGGGCCTCCGCTTGGTGCCATGGGAGAAGGGGCGCTCATGGGAGGCCCACCTGGCCTCCTGACACCAAGGTCCAGTAAGAGGGTGCTGATAAGGCATGCTCACCGCAGGAAGAAGCGCCACGCCGTCCAGGTGAGCACCAGCACAGAGCCGAGTGTCCAGCACTGGGAGATGTAGAAGGGCAGTGACAGTGTGAGTGTGTGTGGGTCGTACTTGACCACTATCAGCAGCTCCGTGAGGGTGATGGCGGCCACCAACCAGGCCTGCTGGCCCAGTTTCTTGTGGAACCTCCTGGAGGAAGAGGTATGGTTTGCTTCCTGTTGACCCCTCTCAGGCTGGCAGGGGTGACCCCAGCCCCTACTCACGGGTCGTCCATGAAGTCATAAATCTCCCGCATGGCCACCCCTCCCACGTTTACGAAGAAGACCAGGCGCAGAAGGACCAAGTAATGCTCTGGGGGCATCCACAACACAAACTTCAGGTAGAATGTGTTCAGTTCTGCCAAGAGAAACTAGAGAGAGCAGAAGAGTGAGCTCCAACGACTTGCCAGGGCCCAAGGCCCACAGGTCTCAGGGTGTCAAGGGGTGGCAGGGTTCAAGGCAGAAGGTGGAGATTGGGGTGGGGGGTAGAAATCAGGGGAGGGGCTGGGACCACAGGGCCAAGGGACAGGGTGCAGCAGGCACAGCAGGAAAATAGGAGCAGGGCCTGGCCTGCCGTGGTTGGGGCTCAGGGAGAGGGGGGGACAGCACCGGGCCAGGTGGGGCTCAGGCCCTGGCCCAGGTAAGGGAAGGGTGGAGGCCAGGTCCTGAACTGCCTGGCTAGATCCTCACCACCAGGATGATGCCACACACGGCCAGCCACCTGCGCAGGCTAGATGCAGGTTTCCACTCGAAGCGAACCCAGCTGTAGGGGGTGAACTGGAAGGCTATTCTCTTCATCTTGCCCCTGAAGATGATGAGGCACCCATGAGTCTTCCCCTTGGGTCAGAGGGCCACCCACCAAGCTACCACCCCGTAGTCCTGAAAGCAGTACCCGGGGGCCAACTCCCACCTCCCAAGTCTTCCCTGATGAAGTGCACGCCCTCAACCGACTGCTCTCCTCCCTCAGTACCAGAAGCATGTAGTCATCATCAGAGATGCAGGGAGAACCCCAGGAGGATCTCCACCCACCAGCTGGGGCACCAGCCTGGCCCAACTTCTCAGCTGTTCATTTCCACTCAGGACAGCAGATATCCCAGAACTGGGGTGAGGGAATGTTGGGGTCATGTTCATGTGTGTGTGATGGTTGGGGAGGGAATGATGGGGCTCCTGAAGAGGATAGGTGTGGGGTAAGGGACAGTTCCAGGGATTGAGTGATGCCTGGCCACATGAGCAGTTCTTGAAGGTGGCCCTAGACCAGGATCAAAAGCAGGATAGGACCATGGATCCTCCGTGGAGGAAGGCAGACTAGGGAGGAGTCTGACTGTTGGTGGGAGCCGGTCAGGGCCTAGAGCTCACCACAGCCCCCACCCCCAGCACCTGAAAGCTGGAAGGCCCAAGACGTACTTGTAGGTGGGAATGTTCCAGAGGCCTTGCCACTTATAGGTCTTGAGGGACAGCCACTCAAGGGTCTTCATGCCACAGTAGATGCCCAGCCCATTGCATACCAGCACATCCATGATCCACTGGGGGCCAGTGAAGGGTCGGGTCAGGGAGGCTTCAAGGAGCACCTACCTCCCTTTACCCCACCTCTGGTGACTACTCTACAGCACGTGGCACCCATGTGGTCTCATCGGCACCCCCCCTGGGTGGACGGCATCCACATGGCCTTACCGGCAAAGACCCCCCACCCCTGCTGTGGACGGCACCCTCGTGGTCCCACCAGCACCCCCCTCCCAACACTCAGGTGGATGGCACTCACGTGGTCCCACCAGCACTCGCTGAAGTTGGGCAGCTGGTGCTCCAGGCTATACTCGAGGAACTCGAACATGACACTAATAATCATGCACATCCACCAGTCCCGGATCATCAGTGTCTGCGGGTGCAAAAGGATCCTTCGTACAGTGCACAGGTGCCTCCTCCCAGGGACCCCACCATCAGGCCTCCTGAGCCTCCCCTCCAGGAAACAGGCTCAAAGTTCAGGGAAGCACGAGGGGTCACTTGTCAGCTTGGGGATCAGCGCACCTTTAGGTACCAGCCGAGGAAATGTGCAGGAACAAAGCCATCCAGCTTGTCCTGGAGACAGATGTACATTCTGTGAGGCTGTGGTCCCATCCTGCCCCACCATGGTATCTGTCTCTAGGTCCATGGACAAGACACCTCGCAAGTGAAGTCTATAGCTAGGGGTTTGTGGGGTGGCAGGATGGAGGTCAACATTGTACAGCCTTTGCCCCATCCTGTCCCAGACATTCCAGAAACCATCACCAAAGCAGCAGTGCCCGGGAGCTGGCAGGGTCATGGGACCACGGCACAGAGCATCCCACCTTCCCTGCATGAGGTCCTGCATCTCACCCAGACATTGTGGAAGGGGAGCTGGAAGGGTCACAGGGTCCCAGCACACAGCATCTCACCCAGACATAGTAGAAGGGGAGCTAGAAAGGTCTTGGGGCCCCTGCACACAGAGCACCCTGCCTTTCCCGTATCTCACCCATATGTTATGGAAAGGGTCAGTCTTATTGTCCGCATCGTAGAGAAGGCAGTTTCCCCCGTAGTCCCTCTCGGGCAGCGGGACGCCCAGCCTCGGGTCGATGTACTTGAGGAACTGCCGGCCATCGTGGACAGTCTGTAGCACCAGTGGGACCATGAGCACACCACTGGTCTGGTCACTGTCCCACCAGCACCTGTCGGGGCTGTTCCCTATTAGATAAGCTCCAGTCTTGGTAGCTGCTGGGGTCAGTCTGGGGGTCCTAGGCCCAGAACAGCCAGCGGCCTCATCCACTTACACCCACATGAGATGGCACAGAGTTCCTTCAGGGTGGCCAGCTGTCAGCACGTGGCCGGCCCTGCATGCTCAGAGCCCACGGCTGACAGATGAAGGCCTAAGCCACCACATCCTACTTTTCAAGTGCACAAATGTAAATGCATATTCACCCAAACAGACCACAAATGTGGTCATAAAACGGCTGTAACCACCGAGAACAGAAACCTGAAACACTAAGACATAAGGGAGGAGATTACATGAAAAATAATAATTAATGAAGAGATGGGATGGGTGGATTTCCAAACACTGGGAAATGATACATGTAAACAAACCACAGATTGCTGACATATTTTCAAAAAGAGACACAGACTGTTTTGAACTAAGCAAGCACATACAACACAGAAAAACCAAAGGGCCACAGCCTGACCAGTGGTCCCAGAGGTAACCATGGACAACAGAAAAGCAGGGCGTAATCTGGAGGGCTTTCCATGGAACACAAGGAACTAGGGAGAAGCAAGCAGAGCAAGGAGAAAAAAGGAAAACAAAGGTCAGTGCTGCGATCAATGAAACTGGGAAAAAAGGACATCCCATTAGCTTCTAGGAAAATGAACCTGAGGGTATGTCCAGACTCACTGGGAGAAGCCAGCGCATCCTGGTCCCCAAACCTGACATGAGCACAGATGCTATAAGAAAGGAGAATTCAGAGCTGCAACTGAGGACACAGATACAAACAGCCAGCTGCAATGAGGCGGGCCCACGTCCCCTGACCTTGACAAGTAAATCAACTGATGCTGGCAGAAACCCCCAAGCCCACCCTGCTGCAGATGAGCCTCCATCCATCGCAAGATTCAGGGACCTCTACCAGAGGTCCCCACCACGTGCACCCACCATCATACAAACAACAAAAGAGAGGCAAGGACCTACATCCAAAGATGGAAACCACAAGGCCCTTGCAAAACGAGGATGGCTGAGTTGGTAGTAACAAATCATTCGATGTGGTAAGTAAAGCAGCAAAACACAAAAGTAAATACTTTGCTCACCAGCAGACTACAGTTGGGATGAGATGCTTGGGAAGCAGGTGTCTAAAGAGCACACGCTCTGGTGGATGGGGTGGATAGATGTCATAACTGGGAGGACCCTCAGGCTTGAGGCTGAGGGTCAAAGGGCCCGTGTGCTCTCTCAAAAGCTATCCTGACTGAAGAACTCCATTCTACCTTAATGGTGACCTGCCAACTTCCTGAATGAATCCCATGAATGGGAGTTCAGCTGTGTGTTCTGTCTGGCCATTGCAGTAGACTGTGGATTCAGGAGCAGTGGCATGAGCGCTCTGGGAGGGATGGCTGGTGCTGGAGTTAGAAGGAGGTGTGGGGTGAGAGGATACGACTAAGCTCATGAGGACTGTTTTGTTATGGGGGGTGATGAGGAGGGGGCAGGGACTGTTCCTCCTGTGGAGCTGGCGGGGACCAGACTCCACCATCTCTTTCACACCTGTACACCAGTGTTTACCACAGCACACAGCCAGAGCACAGGAAAGGTGGAGACAACCCAAGATGTCCTACCCAACAGGTGAATGGTGGGCAAAATGTGCAGTAGTGTTCTCTTGTCATCTAGTATCACAAGGAAGCCTAGAACTGAGCAAAGCATCAACACGGAAGGCAAGCCGGGCAAGCTGTCACTGTGTTAGTGCTCACCGAGAGAAGAAGGAAGAGAGAGCGTCTGCTGAGGGGCAGTGAGTCGAGGTCCACGGTGGGGGAATAATCTGAGAAAGGGTATCAGGAGAGGTTGCGCACCTTGGCAAATGTAACCCGCGTGGCTGAATGTCCACGCACATACAAAATGGGCCAGTAAAGGAGCCAGAGCTGAGACTAAGGTGGGGGCAAGAAAGGCCCAGGATGAGCCTGGAACTGTGTGTGGTGCCAGAAACCAAAGATGTGCTTCCCATGGCTGGGGCCAGAGGAGCGCAGGAACCAAGCGAGAGCGCCCTACAGCCTGAAGGAAGGGACAGTAAGGCTGTGTTAGGTCAAAACCCCGAGTGTACAGTGCTGTGAAGTGGGACCAAACCAAACAGGTGATAGTAAAGAACAGCACTGGAGGACCCGTCACGGGCATCTGCCACTGCTTTAGAACTGCAGGAAGCAAGGCCACGTGACACTGGCCAGCGTGATGAGCACCGTCCAGAAGCTGCTGCAGAAACAAAGTCCAAAAGCACCTTCACTAGAGAAAGGACAAGAGGCAGAAGTGGGCGTTTCAAGGACAAGGACAGACCCTGATCTCAGCTCAGCACACGCAACTTGAGCTCCGAGACGGGAGCATCTGCCCGTGGTGATGGCCACCTCAGTCCACACGTGTGATGGAAGTGCACAGAAACAGACAACACACACTCAGAAATGGCTGTCCACTTCCTAGATTGGACCCTGTCTGGAAATGAGGAGAAAGGAACAAAAAACCTCCCTCTATAATTTAATAACTTCTAGTGAATCTATTATTATTATTTATTATTATTCTTAAACAAAATGCTTAAAAAACCTCTAACATGAAGCTTTCAGAAGAAAACAAATTATGCTGACCACCTAGACAGAGACCTCCTCCATGTGACCCCAGCAGCATAGCTAAGCCCTGGGGCCCTCTCCCCTGCCCACTCCTGCCGGAGCAGGGAAGGCCTGCCTGCAAGATGGTGCGACCCATACAGCTTTATTCTTGATCAAGGTCTTCTGGTAGGCTGTGTGTGACATCAAATGAACCCAATTACCCGGCCAAGAAAACCACTTACCTGGAAGAGGATGAAGATGAGAAAAAGCTCATAGACCACGCTTACACAGAGCCAAAACCGCCAGTACGCTACAGAGGCAAGAGGGACACATCAGCGGCCAGCCTTTATTTCCCAGACCCTCATCCATGTGCCCACAGTGTCCCTGAGCCTGAGGCCACTCCAACCCATGGAGGAGCCTAACCCTGACCCTGTATGCTGGAGCAAAACTGAGCCCCACAGGGTCCCCAGTGGCCTTCACCAATGACCCTCTGGGCTCCTGCAGGAGGACTTGAAGCCTCAGCATTTAAGCCAGCAGTAGGGCCCTGAGCCCTGTCTGTACTGCCAGGGGCTTCCAGTGCAATGTCTAACTGTGGACCATACTTTCTCTCTCTGGACTGGATCCCTAGCACTTGCATAAGGCGAGAATGACACAGCCTTGCTTGCAGAAAATGAGGCAAGAAATGAAAGCATTTATTGAAGATCAAATACTACAGCCTTCAATATGGATTATATCTCAACATCAAGAAGACAAAAGTCCTCACCACTCGACCAACAGGCAAGTTCATGACAGATGGAGAAAAGACTGAAGCCAGGAATTTCATTTTACTTGGACCCACAATCAATACCTTCAGTAGCAGGAGTCAAGAAATCAAAAGAGGTGTCACGTTAAGCCACTCTGCTCTCAAGGATCTTTTCAGAGTCCAAAAGCAAAGACACTGTTTTATAGACTCTAGCACCTGACACTATCTCTGGTATCTTTGGCTTCTTCATATTCATGTGAAAACTGGACAATAAGAACAATCAAAGAAAACTGATGCCTTTGAGTTGTGGTGTTGATGAGTAAAGAATGTCCTATGGATTCCCAAAAGAGCACGGAAGCCTGTCCTTGAGGAAGTGTAACCAGGGTGCTTCTTAGAGGCAAGGATAGTGAGACTGTCTCACATATTTGGGGCATGTTATCAGGAGGGGCCAGTCCTTGGAAAAGTAGAGGGTCAATGAAGGAGAGGAAGACCCTCAACAAAGCGGATCGACACAGTGACCACAACTATGGGTTTAAGCACAGTGGGGACCAATGACAGCTCAGGACAGAGCAGGGTCACGAGTCACCCACACCCTCTTTCTCCTGCCATACAGCAACAGCTCAGGAGCCGTTCTCTACTGGTGGGAGTGCTGGCGACAGCACAGCCTGGCCTGCAGAGATGACACGCTTCCTCCTCGGTGGCTGCATTCCAGCTGGCTTTGACTAGCACTTTTTGTTGGGTCCACAACATCTCCTTTGCCCTACTATGTTTTGTCATGAATGAGTTAGGACTTCTGATGTTTTTCAAAGTGGATTCTTCAACACTCTCTGGCTTTTCTGATCTCATGCCCCCTGGATGCCTAGACAACCTCTGTCACACCATGCTGACGTAGGATACAGCTTCCCATCAGTACAGGGAGCACTGGCCCCATCCCTGGGTCAGTTGACACCATGCACTTTCTGGCCAAGGGCTCAACTTTCCATGTAGGATGACAGGAGGGGTCTCAAGCTCCCCTCCCAACAGCAGCTCCTTCTGCTCCCTCTACCTTGGAGAGAAAGTTGTGTTCATAGGGACCTGAGGATCTCTGGGCCAATGCTGCAGGGGTGTACTGAGAAGATACTGTGGGTAAGCTCTCTGCTACCTGACCTCTGGTGGTCAGGCCTCAGGTGTGAGAGGAGTCAAGGCAGAGCTCAGGCTGGGCTGGGGTCACGCCACAGAGGAAGGGGTGGAGTGGGGGAGGGACACGTGGCTGGGTTCAGGCTTGGACTGGGCCAGGCCACAGGAAGGAGTGGATACCTGCTTGAACATGAGGGGTATGGGGAGCAGGACAGAATGGTCTGGTGGGGCACAGGAGCTTCCAGGTACCAAGGGCAGAGAGTAAAACAGCACTTGTCCTCCTGTCCTGGGCGCCCTTGTGAATCTGGAAGTCACTCAGCAAGTTCTTGGCAGCTCAAAGTCGCAGTAGCAGCTGGAGGTGACTCACCGCAGAGCTCACTGCACAAGTGGGGATGGTGGGCCCCTTGAGGGGCTGCCTTCAGAGATGCTCACCTGCCTGTCTGCTCCACCAGAGCTGCTCAGTGCCTCACAGCGCCCACCTCTGAGCCTCAGCAACAGTGGCCTCCTCACCCCTGCACCCCGGTGGCAGTCAGGCTGCCCAACCACCCCAATGGAGACCTCTGCTGACCTGGGTGGTGCTGCCATAGCCACAGCTGGACACTTCCAGAGTCAGGAAGAGGGGCTGCAGGTTAGTAAAGCTCCCCAGGGCAAAGGCTTCCAGGGCCCACTGGTCTTACCCCTTTACATGGCATGGAATGACACTGGGTTACTTGGAGTATCTGTGACATGTGCCAGGGATGTAGGGAAGCTTCCCCAATTGCCACTGTGACAAACACCAAGAACAATGGTAGTCCAGGCTGGCCCCCCAACATGTCAACCTCAGTATACCAATGGTACCCACCCACCTACATGGGCACTCCCCAGGCAAGCACCCTGCAAGATGCCCATGACCAAAGAGCCCAATCCATCAAGGTGTCCAAACAGCAGAACTCTCAGTGGCCACCTCATTCTCAAAGTGCCGAGGACTGAAGACACTTAATTCCCTAACCCTAGGGCTCCCCATTAAATGTGACCACTCCCAGGGACAGAGATGGGGACACGAATGTTCACACTGATGGGCATGGGGATGTCAGAGCTCAAAGACCAGCACAGAGACGTGGGTGTGCTGCACAGCCATAAAAGGGGATGTGGCAGTCAATGTCTACATGTATCGTCACTATTTATGTTTTACTGAAAAATGCATTTAAAAAAAAATCAGTGATTGTACATTTTTTTAAAAAAGGATGTGGCTGTGCCTGCACCATGCATGAGGGCAAACAGGGTGCATGTGCACCCTGACTGGTAGTGAGAACTGGACACCCTGCCATGGTAGGCACGGCTTAACACAGAGCTCTCCAGGACGTGCCGGTGGCCTGCACTGTGCCCATGAGGTCGCCCTTCCTGTACGTGTCTCACTTTGAAATACTTTCTGTATTTTCTACACTAAACACACTCAGACTAAGGAACAGAAAGGAAAGACGCTGAGGAATACCCTTCACTTCGGGACACCCAGCGACCCATCTGAGTTAGGGCAGGGACAGGGGCCAGTTCTGGGGGTGGAGATGGAGGATGAGAGGACATGAGTGGGGATGAGGGCCCAAGGACCCAAAGAGATGGAGCACCTACTGCTATTCCATGCAGGCCCTCGGTGGCGGGGTGTGGGGGCACATTGTTTCTAGTTGTCTTCCCAGAACTTTGCATGGCTTTGCTGAGAGAAGGGGAGTGAACAGACAGCAGAGGCTGGAGCAGTGACCCTGAAGAGCATCCAAGCTGGAGCTGAGGGCTCTGTAGGAGGGTGTGGGGGAGCCACGGTGTCTCTGGGGCCCCTCGAGGGGAGCCCATGATGGCTTTGGGGCCCTTTGTCTGCTCCACAGCTACAGTGCCCTGGCCTCCCCAACAATGTCCTAGAAGACAACCAGGCCATTCACAGTGCAGCACAGACACAGTGACCTCACAGGACAGACAGAGGTGACAGGTTACCTGGGTGAGGTCTGGAAAATGGCCCGTCTTTAGCTTGGGTGACTCCAAAACATAAGAAAACCAAAATACTGGCCACCACACCTCTGCAAATAAAGAAGAGACACCCCTCAGTGCGTGCAGCTGTGTCAGGACCCCAGGGCAGGGACAGACCCCCAACACTGAGCAGGAGGGACTACGCTTGCTGACGTGACACCCAGGAGGACAGAAGAGAGCTAAGCGGGCTGACCAGTTCACACGAGATGGAGGAACGTGCGAAAATGGACAAGACCCCCAGGTGCCTGGACCAAGCATAGGAGCAGGACTGCAATGGTGGTAAAATTGGGCAATGGGTCAAGATCAGCCACATGGAGGAGGTGGAGGCAGGTCGTGGGACAGGGTGGGAGGGCAGGTTACAAGAACCGTGGGGTGGTGCCTTCAAGATGGGGTCAGGGCAAGCTTCACGGACAAGGTGGGAGGTCAGGACACATGAATGGGGTCCAGACAGTGCCACACAGGTTGTCTGGGGACTGCCTGTGTTGACAGGGTGGACAATTAGGTCAGAAGAATATCAAGTGTCACTTAGTTGATGTTGACAAATACCCCCAACAAACAGCAGCTCCAGCACCGAGGGGCCTCTGCAGGCTCACAGCTCAGCCCAGTGCTGTCACCAGGGGGCAGAGTCTGTGCATGAAGCTCAGTCACACACTCCTGCTGCCTGGCCACTCACAGTCATACTGCTCTGGCCACACCTCCCCCCACTGACCAGAACCCCCACCATCACCTGTCCATGATGTGGACCTGGAGACTCCCCCATGGTCACCTGCAGAGCCCTCACTGGGTGGTTTGGGGTACACAGAGATACCACCACCACCCGCCACAGCCCGAAAGCCTGTCAGGGCCTGTCCACCAGCCCGCAATGACCACACTGTCCTCCACGGCAGGAGCAGAGTAAGGACAGATAATGATGCAAAGGATTCTCAACACTTGGCTCTGCCAAGACGCAGGTCCCCTCACTGTCCACATTCCTGCTGTGGGTAAGTCCACTCCTGTCATACTAGTCCCCTCGCTGTCCACTCCTGCCACTTCCCTACTGTGGATCAGCCCTCTCCTGTCCTACTGGTTCACCAGCTGTCTGCTCCTGCCACTCTCTTACCATGATCAGTTCCCCTCCGGTTCTCATGCCCCCTCACCATGGCTGGCCTGGTCCTCCCCTGGATGGAGCAGCCACAGTTCACAGCAGGCTGCCCATGCTGTGCCTCCACTCTTTGGAAACCCCTAGGCCTGTCCCCCCAGAAACACTCACTGTTCTTTCTTGCCCCAAGAGCCCTATCCATACCCAGCAGTGGGCAGCGGCCAGGCTGTGCACAGCCGCACTCTCAGGAAGTGTCAGGACCATCATGCTTACAACTTAATTCCAATAGGTTCAGCAAAAAGTCATGGAGCAACAGCACACAGGCTGACCACACTAAACTGAGGGGCAGGGTGGGGTGGGGGTCCTGCAACCCCTCAACATTCCTGGGTAAGATTTCTCAAAACAAAGTACTGGGAAAATCCAGTAGACCCAGGACCATCCCATTAGAAGGAAGAGGACACTTGGTCTGGCTGGTGTCCTCAAATGCTCCCAAGCCAGGACCCGAGGTCTCACCTCTGCATGTCCACAGGGAATATCCCAGACAACCCTCAGGGCTGACCCACACCTCTGCTGCCTAGTGTCCAGGAGGGTTCCTGGTGAACTGACCACAAGAACACAACCTGCCCACATCACCGCACCCTAGGGAGGTACACACAAGGGACTTAGCAGCTGCTCAAAAGGTTGTAGAAGAGCCCACCAGATTCCTAAACCAAAGCCTGATACCCGCTTTCCAGAACAGCCTCTGACCCCCACCACGGGCCACAGGTCTACTGTGACAGAGGTGACCGCTGATCCCGTCACAGGACACAGTTCTACTGTGACACAGGTGACCACTGAACCCCATAGCCCCCACACAGATATACTCTGACAGTCCACCTGTCAGCCAACCCTGCAACTAGTGCCTCTTCTTGTGACTTGATAACTTGTTTCTTTTTTCCTCAGTAAGTAACATTACATTATATCTGAAGGATCTAACTTCACCAAGTAATGTTGCATTGTATCTGAAGGATCTAACTTCATCACTAAGCAACATTACATTGTATGTGAAGGATCTTACTTCAATGCTAGCTAACATTACCTTGTTTGAAGGCCACATCAGGCTCCTAAAGGATCACTACACCTGTCTCCTGTTCCAGGGCTTTAATCTGTAATTTCCCATACTTGACGTCACCCAAAATTTTAAGGATTTGAGTCTGTTACATGTTAACAGTCCAACCTGATTCTGAGCCCTAGTTGCTGATTTTTCTATTTCATTATTACTTTTTTGGTGTTGCATAAGCACAATCAAATGTTCTGGGATTTCCATTCTTCTCTGAGTCAGCCACAGCTTATTGTGATCCACACAGTCTAACAACTGTTCTTAGTCAATGAAACACAGACATTTCTCTGGTACTCTCTCCTTTCAGTCAAGATCCATTTAACACTAGCTATAATATCCCTAGTACCACAGCGTCTTCTAAACCCAGCCTGCACATCTGGCAGTTCTTGGCTGATGTACCGCTCCAGTCATTTTTAGATAATTTTCAACAGAATCTTGTTTGCATGTGATATTAATGAGACTGTTCGATAATTTCTGCACGCTGTTGGGTCACCTTTCATTGGGATGGGAACAAATAAAGTTCTCTTCCATTCAGTTGGCCAGATGGCTGTCCTCCAGATTTCTTGGCACAATTTAGTAAGCGCATCCAGGGCAGCATTTGTTTGTTGAAATATGTAAATTGGTATGTTGTCAATTCCTGAGGCCTTGTTTTTTTGCCAGTTCCTTTAGAGCAGCTTGGATTTCTTCCTTCATCACCACAGGCTCTTGCTCATATGTTGTTTTATGAAATTCTCTGGGTCAGCCAGTTACTCTTTGTACAGTGACTCTGTATACTTCTTCCACCTTCTTTTAATGCTTCTTGAATCATTTAATATTTTGCTGAAAGCATCCTTAAGTACTGTAACTCACGGCTTGACTTTGTTTTTCAATTCCTTCAGCTTAAGAAGTGCTGAATGTGTCAGGCCCTTTTGATTTTCTGACTCTAGCTCTTTTGCACCTTTCATCATAACATGTGATTATGCTTATGTAAAACCTCTACTTGGACCAGGAGGCAGTCATCAGAACAGAGGAAGGAGACATTGCATGGTTGAAAACTGGGGAAAGGGGTCTACCAGGGATGTATTCTGTCTCCATACCTTTTCAATCTATATGCAGAACAGATCATCTAGAAGGCTGGGCTGAATGAGGAGGAATGTGGCATCAGGATTTGAGGAAGACTCATCAACAACCTGTTTTATGCAGATGACACAACTCTACTTGCTGGAACTGAGGAGGACCTGAAGCACTTACTGCAGAAGGTTAAGGACTGCAGCCTTCAATATGGATTGAAGCTGAACATCAAGAGAACAAATATTCTCACCACTGGGCCGATTGGCAGTATAATGATAGATGGTGAAGAAACTGAGGTTGTTAACAGCTTCAGTTTGCTTGGTTCCACAATCAAAATTCTTGGTACCAGCAGCTGGGAAATCAAAAGACTTTGGGAAAGTCGGCTGTCAGGGACCTCTCCAGAGTACCGAAGAGCAATGATGTCAGTCTGGAGACTAAGGTGTGCCGAATCCAGGCCATAGTCTTTGCAATTGTTTGCTATGCGTCAGAGAGATGGACAATGACTAGGGATGATAGAGGGAAAATTGATGCCTTTGAGCTGTGGTACTAGAGAAAAGTTTTGAATATAACATGGACTGCCAGGATAAGAAACAGGTTTGTCCTAGAGACAATGAAACCAGGCTGCTCCTTGGAGGCAAGGATTCTGAAGCTGTATCTGACATACTATGGACATGTTGCAAGGAGGGATCAGTCCTTGGAAAGAGACGTCACGCTTGGAAGGGTAGAGGTTCAGAGAAAGAGGGAGACCACTGATGAGATGGACTGATACAGTGACTGGAGTAATGAGGGTAGGTGTGTCAGAGATAGTAAAGTTGGCACAGGATAGAGCAGGTTTCAGGGCTACTGTACATAGGGTCTCTATGAGTTGCAAACGACTTGACGGCATATACCACCACCACCACAACTTTTTTGGTAGGTCCTGCATTATCTTTATTGCAGACTGACTTATGGGATTATAGAACATCATAACTTTCTGTCTGTTCCAGAAGTTATGATTGATTGAATATTATCGCTTTTTATTGTCAGTATCTTTAGATATTCAATCTTTGAGGGCTGGAAATATATAAACTTACAGATGTATTTTGGTAATTAAAAAATACTTCAAGAATGGGCATCCCAGAACATTTGATCGTGCTAATGAGAAACCTATACTTGGACAAGAGGCAGTCGTCAGAACAGAGCAAGGAAACACTGCATGGTTCAAAATTGGGAAGGGCGTACGCCAGGGATGTGTCCTATCTCCATACCTTTTCAACCTGTATGCAGAACAGATTATCCGGGAGGCTGGGCTCTACGAAGAGAAATGTGGGGTCAAGACTGGTGGAAGATCTATCAACAATCTGCAATATGCAGATGACACAACCCTGCTTGCTGAAACTGAGGAGGACCTGAAGCGCTTGCTACAGAGGGTCAAGGACTGCAGCCTCCAATATGGATTGAGGCTCAATGTCAAGAAGACAAAGATTCTCACCGCTGGGCCAACTGGTAGCATCAGGATGGATGATGAAGAGATTGAGATTGTTTACAGCTTTAGTTTGCTTGGCTCCACAGTCAACACTCTCGGCACCAGTAGCCAGGAAATTAAAAAATGGTATTGCAATGGGAAGGTCTGCTGTTAGGGACCTCTCTAAAGTACTGAAGAGCAATGGTGTCTCTCTAGAGACTAAGGGCGTCTGATACAGGCCATGGTCTTTGCAATCACTTGTTATGCATCAGAGTTGGACAATGACTAGGGAGGATAGAAGGAGAATTGATGCCTTTGAGCTGTGGTGCGGGAGAAGAGTATTGAGGGTACCATGGACTGCTAAGAAAACAAACAGATT